ATTAAATTTGACACAGATCTCTAAAAACGTCAAGTCTCACATCCATGTGATAACTGTTGTAGAGATCTGTGTCAAATTTAATGGTGATCCTTTGGGATCCTACACATATGGGTATGAAAGGATTTCATAGGATCATTACTTATATATATATATATATATATATAATATAAGATAACTCATGCACACGTGGCGATCGAGTAGTATCACATTACGTTTTTTTGCTATCACACGATTGAAACGTGTAAAAAATAACATTATGATTGCCGACTTTCTTTATCTCTCTTTGATGCAGATCAAGACTTGATTGCTACAAATTTTAAATTTTATTTTTTTAAAAAAATTATCATAAATATACCTTAATATTCGCATAGAAAATAAAACTCTCAACTTTTATAAATCTCGTTCACACTATTTTTTTTCAATTTTAGATATTTTTTATACCAAAATATTTTTTACGGCAGTCGTATTATCGTAAAATACTATTACGGTAATTTAACTATAAGAATGTTTAACGCATTTTATACAGCACTTAAAATACCTTAATGCCTCCGACATTTATTAGGGTACTCAAATTACGGTGATCTCAAGGTCCATTTGACTTTCACCAACAAGAGAGAGCAATAGAATGAATTAAGAAAGTGGGAGAGTAGGTGTTTTGGGTTATTGCTCCAAAAGCCCATTAATTTCACCAACAAGAGAGAGCAATAGAATGGATTAAGGGAGTGGGAGAGTAGGTGTTTTGGGTTATTGCTCCAAAAGCCCATTAATAGAGAAAGAGTTTTGGGGATTTCCTAGAACCCATTAATGGAAATTGCGGACAGATGGAGAGCTTGGGAATTCGGGCCTTCCATACGATTAATAACGAGCCTCTAAGAAACGGTCCATTGGAAAGGGCTCTGAACCCATTTAAAAGGTTTAGAGCCCCTCTCTTTCTTTCCCTTTATATTTATCACTCTGCGCTCTCTCTCTATATACTTGGCTATTTTTTTTCACGGGGCTCTCACTCCCTTCTATGTCTAACTCAAAACTCCATGGATCCTGAAATCTAAGCTAATTCGAATACCGTAAAAGACGTTGGAGGCGTGTTTTATATGTGACTTATACTGTAAAAGCTATTTTGATAAAAAAAACTTAAAATTGAAAAAAAAATAGTGTGGACGAGGTTTATAAAAGTTGAGAGTTTTTTTCTACAATTAGACAAAAATTATAGTATATTTATGATAATGTCCCTATTTTTAAAGATGTGAATAGACTTGTTATTTTTTATTAGAGTTAATTGTTAAAAATAATATTTTTAGGCTATTTTGGTAAAGTCTATTTTTTTTAAAGAAAGTGTGTCTTTTTAGAAGGATAAGTCCTTTAGTTTTTGTAGGTCCATTTTCTTTTTTATTTTGCATGAGTATTTTTTTTTTGACAAAATTTTTATTTCTTAATGTATCTTTTTCTTTTGTGAGGTTGACTTATCATTTTCTTTAATCCGTTTAAATTGGAATAAATATTAGGTGTTATCTTTTGGAGAAGTCAGTTTT